CCCCCCCAATCTGGAAAGAGTTCAAATTTGAAGTGAAGTTGAGCTGGTTCACTAGTCTGATGCCTCCTGGTCGCCTCCCTGTGGAGGTATTCTGGGCACATCCAACTAAGAGGAGACCCCGAGGCAGACCCAGGGATAACATATTCCATCTGTCCTGGGAAAGCCTTGGGCTACCCCCAGAAGAGCTGAAGGAAGGACGTCACAGGGGAGAATAACCTCTGGGCAGGAGTAGATTTCTGCCACAGCAGTTCAGAATATATTCCTGTCAACATGTACGTTTCTGTCTGTGTTATAAAGAGAGGGTGTGAATAATGGTAATGTATTCCACATTTGCAAGAGCAAAGATAGGAAGTGTGAAAAGAGAAGAAGAATAGTAAAGGCTAAGAAAAAGTCAAATATAGCAAGAAGACAAGGCAGAAATTTTTCTACCAAAGTTTTCTACCAAAAGAATTTCTTAAAAGCGACAATTCCTCCATTGCCTTAGCTGTTAGCTCTCCAAGGTGCACTCTACAGAAAAAACTAAAAGTAATAATGGACTTAATGAGACATGACATTTTCACGAAAAGCCTGAATTACACCCCTGCAATACAAACTGTTGATATAGTCCTGTTAATAATTTAAGGAAGTGCACATCGCTCGCAGGCATTTTAGGTGTATTTTTTGCAATTATGACTCAACATTTATGTAGTATACGCTCAAGAGATCCTGAAGGTATGCTATGCACATAAAGTATTTTTGAAATATTCAAAAGAGTTTGAGGATTAAGAGCTAGCAGTCTCAGTGTTCAGACATGCCCAGAACTTGCTAAATTCCGTCCAGGGATGGACAGATTCTGAAAGATAGGAAAAGTGAAAATTCTATTTGGATAACAGGATAGTTATCTGTAGTTGATATACAGAGGGCAATATGTTGTTTAATGCTCTCTGCACAATAATGACGCTCTGCCCTGTGTTACAACAGTACCTGTCACACTTGTCCAAATCAGTCCTTCTATGCTTCTGAGCCCAGTATTTAATATTGTCATTGTTAATTCTGGTGTGGCTATGAGATCTAAAAGCTATGTTCTTGCTGGAGTTTTGTTAAGATGTTATGTAGTGTATAATCCCTAATTTTAAAGTTGCTGGAGCTATATTGAATCAGCTTTTAAGCCTGCATATCTTAACTTGCATTGTGTGCCCATAATTCAGATATTTGAAGAGAGTATAGAAAAGGGTTTTGATGGTAAATAAGCAATCAGTTAAATAGTTTTTACCCATATATTAATTTAAGATGTTACCAACTTTCCACTTATCTTTGAGGAGTCACTCAGTTACTGTAGTAATGTACCAAACGCCTTGAGAGTCCCAAGAGACTGGTCCACTTAATGGATTTATTGATTGATCGTGTTGTTTATTTGTTCATTAATTTGCATGTAATTGTTTAATGGCCAGCTCTTGCTGTGAGACCTGTTTTAAATACCGTGACCATGGTGATTTGCAGAGACAGAGCAGCAAACAAAGCAATTCAACTTCTATAATTTTTCATGACTCTTCATCTAAGACTTAAGAGGTTCAGTCAGAATTCAAATGATAAATTATAATCTAATTCTGAAGCAATTAGTGTTACAACACTGTCGGCTAAAGCTTGGAAGTTGTGTTAACATGTGGAGACACATGTATGTCTACAGTCTATGATGTCTACGCATACGGTCATGCCAAAGGAGCATTGCTGCTGGCATAGGGTATCTTATGCCCCTTTTCCACAAAACTGGTTCCGGTTCAAGACCCGTTCTTGTGCTTTTCTGGTGCTTAACTGGTTCTTCTCTGTAGCCCCACTTGTGTTTCCACCGCTCAGAGCCCGACTGGTGCTGCCGTTGCTGTGTCATGACACCACCGTTTACGTTGCTGATTTTCTCCCCAACGCCGCTCACGACAACAACAATGGAGGGCTGCGTCGGGTCGATGATCGTGTTGCTTTTAAAGCAAAGCCAGATTAAATTAAATAACCGACTTTCTCCAACCTTATACTTTTCAACCTCTGCAGCCCATGTATGGATTCCATCCGATAGC